CTGAATTGAATGCAGTACGTGCAGACAGCTGTGCTACAGAGCAGAGGTTTAGTGAGATATCTTGAGGGTTAACCTGGATTTACAGGTTTGCAGAGGGGGTTCACATCAACACGGTTATGTGCCCCACACCTAGGCTGTCTCTTAGCAGGTTATGGTCAGGATAAGTAATGATGTGTACAAAACTGCCACCTACTGGCCAGTCATTTGTATGGAAAAAAGTATCACCAATTATTATTGTGTCCCTTGGGCAGCTACTAAATACTAACTAAAATACTAAATAATAACCCAAGACACTAGACTCTATAGAATAAACTGGGGCAACAAAGAGAACTTAGAACATACATCATAGTACAAAAACACTGAGATACAAGAAAGTCAACACTGGGTCAGGGGACCCAGGATCCTGACACTTCAAAGTGAATAATACTAAGCGATCACCCTTCATGACACCATTTAAACAATTAGAATTCCAACTGTGTGTCTAAAAGGGCACTGCCAAATGTGGGTGTGCTTTGGTGAACATCAAAACACATCTTTACCACGTCGTCCTACGCTGAAAGCTTTGTTAATCAAACGTGACATGTTTCTTGTGATCGGTTCAGTGGAAAATTTCATATTTCCTTCTGTGATCCATCCATTTAGAGTTAAACTGTTCTAGTGAGCCTGTTGCATTTGTCAGAAATCAGCAGTTGTCACGAGGCATCTAACTGGTGAATAATTTGAGGCATACTGCTAGAATGTATGTACATCTGCCCCAGATAATCCAAAAAAATTCAAAGATTAGACAAAGATACTGGCAGAGTCAATACAAAATATGCTAGGCCACTCTAAAACTTCCATTTCATGAACTCTGACCTTAAATGAGGCAAGTGGAACCTGAAATGTTGTTGTGGGGGTTTTTGTCACCTCCTGAATGAATCTTCAATGAAGTCTTGGAGAAACAGATTAGGCCTTCGCTCTATACTAAACGGTGGTGTTCACTGCAAACTTACTTGAGTACACCAGTTTGTATCCTTCTGTCAAGGGCAAAGACCAAATGTGTGCATGTGTGAGTGAGTTTACTTTGAGTATATCGCCCTGGACAAAATGAAAGGTTCTTGCAGAGATGTTGATTCCTTTCCCAGCTTGAACCTCAGATCAACATCAAATCGAAATTAGCACTAATGACCCACATAGCAGGTGACAAGCCCTCACAAAGGTTTGAAGACTGGTAATACATTTGACATCTCTTAAATACTTGCAATGATCAATAGCCATTATTTTTCTCAATAAAAACTCATGTCATGCATATTCTGAAGTGTTAAGATCTATGGCCTTGATGCTGTAGATGCAGTTGTGGTTGTTATAGTTCATTGGGTAGTTTGGCGAGAGCAATATCCCTTCATTATTTATGACTGAAGAACGACACTCTGCTGAAGATAGAGGATAGAAAGGAGACAATTAAAAAATGCACAATATTGAGACATTAGTTCAATTCTTAAGAGGCTTATAAGGATGTGGAGTGGTCATGTGAACCGGTTTTTGTTGTGCCACAAATTGACCTGCATTTAAAGCTTTAATGATAAACAAAATGTTCTGCAGCTTAATAAAGAGGCTTGTGGCTTTTTAAAGTCGCTGGTCCTACAAGATAAAAGTTTTTGCCCATTTTCTGTGCAGCTAGGGGGAACGCAGGCTGTCCTCAGAGTAATAATCAGTGAAATTCCTTTGTTCTTAATATAAATGAAAAATGAGTCTCATGAGTCTCATTAGGGTTGTTTTTTATGTTTCTGTGTTCAACCGATGTAATAAAATATAACTGTAAAGCTTCTACAGCTTTTAAAACCTTAGTTGTTCCACTTTTT